GATAAGACTCTGCATGCAAAATGTTAAAAATAATTATCGCCGCTAAAAACTGATTTCATTTTCGGAATCAAGGTATCAAAATAGGCAAAGTGGCTCGAGCGAAACCTGATTTGATGCCATATTTAAATTTGAGCAAACTTTCGGTTTTTGATTGTCAATTTTGAATCTGAAGTCATGCATCAAGGTCACCTGCTGCGTTGTGTGCATCTGACGTCACAGCTGCTAGGCCAAGGTCTACACACAACACACTTCCCGTGGCCCGGTTAAAAAACCGTTGGTGTCTGCCTATGTTCTTACTCTCTGAGCGTCTAGGTCCTAGGTGTCGGCTCCTTCCCAAACCATTGGTGTTGGCTTCTTCTCAGAGCCGGTACTGGGGGCCAGGTGCTGGTACTGACACCTCCTTTGGTAGAACCGGGAATTCCGCTACTGGGTACCGGGGTGATCTTATAATACTTTAGCACATTAAATTCTTCAATTGATTTTATTCCCTTTTCTGTAACGAACGACCACTTTAAAACAAGATCTATCAAATCTAATCAAGATTATACTCAATGGCTTCCAACATCATGATGGAAGAAAGAAAATCACTGTTATACTATAACTATACTTGTTATACCATCTGTTCCTGACAAAATTACGGTAGTTTGCGCATTTTTCGGCCAAGTTCAAAGTTTTGAAGGTCTGAGTCGGGGATTAGTAGACTTTGGGAATTTAACGTGCTAAAGTATAAGATCACCGGTACCGGTACCTGCCCATCCCTACCACACAACTCACACCGGTGTCACCAGCCGGGCCATTGCTTAGGCCTAAGGCTTAGGTCTTAGGTTAGGTGATTAGGTGATTAGGAGGTTTTAATTAGATTCGCCATTGGTCTGGTAAGGAATTCTAAATGGAAATAAATACGAGACAACCAATATCCTATACTCACACTGCCATTTTCACATCAAATCAATCTGCTTACACCTTGCTGATATTTGTGATCTTATTGAAAAAGTGTGCTGTAGCCTATATCTTTGTTGTTTCTCACGTTGCACATTGTATGTAAACAATCAGCAAGCTAACTTAGGAGTTACTTCCCTTGTCTTTATAAAAAAATAGAAATTAATGTCTTTGCCAAAACAACCTTATATTTTAAACACAATAAAAAGTATCACCCAAGTGAGAAAAATGTTAATTAAGAAGTTGCTCTCGGAACTTAATACATCCCCAAAATATGAAAACATTAATTAAAGGATTATATCTGAATTAATCGTTCAGGCGCGGGCGAAATCTAAAATTAATAATCGGAAAAAGGTCATTAAAGGGCAAGGGAGACTACTCTCCGTGGTTGAGGTGTTACCAATGTCATCATTTTGTTACACGCCAAAGAATATTATTTTTAGATATGACTGCATTTTTACCAGTAGTCTAATCTACATGTGAGTTTTTATATCCTGTTTGAAGAGTATTTAAATCTTTGACTGTTGACCCCTCAATATTTTCGTATTATAAGTTTCATCTTTGAACTCGCTGAGTTCACAGTGAGTGGCCTCACTGTTTGGTCGTTTATCGTGTCGGGGAACGTTAGAACCACCCACTGATGAGTTCAAAAGCCAAGTCGTCATATTAAATTAGCTTTAGGCTGCAGCCAGGATCCTGCAGGTCTATATCTAGATATATAGACCTATATTTTTGTACAAGAGGTATTTTTTTTCTTCTGTTTTTCTTATAACTCACAAAAGTGCTTTTCATGATGTTAATTTTTAAAATTAAAATATCTAGCCTAATCTAATCGCTTAATTTAAACTCAAATGACAAAATCACTTCTGATGAAAAGGCTTTTGACTTTTGAATTACAAGAGTTCAATTATAAATATGTGCTGAAAATGTTAAAGACATTTGGAGAGGTTTCATACTATAGTATGGCAACAGCAATTTTCCCACCCCACTCTCTTCCTCTATTCTCTACGTGTCTTCTCAACGCGCCTGTTCTTTACTCATGTTTTTTTATATAGCTAGTTATGTGTGTATGCCACTGTGTGGCATGGAAAGGTCATCACAATGGGTTTTTTTGTGGGCATCCAATACATACACTGTGTTACTGAGACTGGTGCAATCGGCTGTGGATGTCAGAGCTATTTATGTTGACTTTTCTTTTTTACCCTGAATCAGGGATTTGAATCTGAGCAAATAGTTGCTTGCCATTGGTGCAATGAAATCAAAGACATTACAGCTGCAATAATTTAGAAATCATCTGTGCTGAATGACTTTTGTTCATTAATGAAGGTTGTACAAAATCAGTAGTGTAAATACATTTTTTAATACAAATTTTAGAATTGCTGTAGCGAGGCTGAAAAAAATTGAAATGAACAACATAACGTTGAAAGTCTTTCCCCCAAAATTTATGAAATATAATATAAGCAAACTGTTCTCAGTCATGCTTCTTTAAATGTCACATTTTACATTCCCATAGCTTGATGAGCATTCTGTGACGGTAACTTGAATCATGTACTTTCTACATTTTACCATTTTGGTGAGGAAAAACCCCCAAATTCCTCTGCAACCAAAGACTGAATCAGGGATTTGAATCTAAGCAAAGAGTTTCTTTCCTTTGGTGCAATGAAATCAAAGTCCTTTCTAAGTGATGTACATTTTACAGCCTTCTTTATGTGAAGGTAAGTTCGGCCCAGTTTGTGAATTGCTTTATTTTGGTCAAGGCTTTTGTATATTTCACCTTTGTTTCAGGAGAAATGATTTTTGTTCTTTTATGATTTTATCAACAGGCTAGGACTTCTATACATGAAGTTCAAATAAAATTTATGAAATTAGTATCATCATCATCATTGCCTTTCTTTCTTTCTCACCCTGGATCAGGATATAGGCCACGAACAAACACTTTCCACCTTTCCCTATCCTGGGCTAGTCGCTTGATGTCACTCCATGTCTTCCCACTTTTCTGTACATACATCCATTTCCATGACTCTTCTTCCGGTTCCACATGGTTTTCCTCTTGATCTTTTACCCTGTGGGTTCCAATCTCGCACTTTCCTTTGTTATGCAACTGCTATGAAATTAGTATTGAGTCAAAAAGAAATGATGATCACATGTAGATAGAATAAGTGCTCAACAAGGTTTTTTTTCAAAAGTGTATATTATATATATATATATATATATATATATATATATATATATATATATATATATATATATATGTATATTATATTGTGATGAAACTTAATGATTGGAGTATTTTTTTGTTTTCATAACAGGAACATTACTGTTTACAACTTGATGCTGTAAAGAGACTGGACATTAACAACAGACAAGACTCACTTTCAGTTTGTTGTATTATATAACTCACTGTTTATTGTGAAGGCGGTTGTGAAACAGCAGTTTTTGGGCTCGGAAAGGTTGCTTTCAAGTCGAGGTGAGATTTCTGCACGGTTAATAATGTCATGATATAAATATATCATGTAAGACTTTTGTGTGTTTACTCACATGTAAGTATGCTACCTGGGAGTGGGTTCCTCTAAAACATCAACTCTTTCCCTCTTGGAATGGGAACTTTTGTACTTTAGTTTGAGGGAAATTCTTCGTATAAAGGAGTCGATAATTTTCCAGGGTTCAGAGAAAGTATTCAAGAAAGATTAGGAAGAGAAGCAGGAAAACCCCCCCCCTTATAAAACTCCTATTCAACCATTCTTAGGGGCTCAAACCTGAGGCTCAATTTCAGCAAAGTTTAGACAAGGAGTAAAGTAGTCAAAATCTAACATCTAATGCCAACTTGAGCTAACAATGAAATTGTATAGAAAGGCAACTTGGCTGTAATTATTTGATTTATCAGGCCTAGTGTCATTTAGTAGGCTGAATGATTGTGAGAATGTGATATAAATTATAAATGATTATGTTTAAAATAATGTTCTAAGCAAAAATCAAAGCTGATATTAGTGTATGAGGCTCGTGAGTCCAGGTTGAATTTGTTCATCTTAAGTGATTTGCATTCAGAAATTGTCAATGAAAAAGTTCAGTTTTTCAAAAAATGTGAAATGGTATAAGAAGAGCTTTATGTGTCAAACGGTGTTATATAATTCAAAAAAATTTTCAGGTTTCATCTTTCACTGGACACTTCTAACATGTCGTCAAATGCTGCCCAGGAAGGACCTGTTGTGACATTTGGCATCATCGCCGACGTGCAGTACGCAGACTGTGAAGACGGCACAGATTTTTCGAAATCGAGGCAGCGTTTCTACAGAAATTCTCTCAACCTCGTGAAAAACGCCGTCAATGATTGGAAGAGCAACTCTGATCCGGTGGCATTTATTCTACAACTTGGTGACCTAATTGACGGAAAAAACAAATTAGGTGGAGAGCTGGCGAGCCGGAAGGCCCTGAAGACGGCTCTGAATCCTTTGAACTCCTTGCGTATACCCGTTTACCACGTCATTGGAAACCACGAACTGTACAACCTGAACCGCTCGTTTTACCTCACCTCCCCCTTAAACAGCTCCCTCTCCCTCAGCATACAACCTCCCACAAACAGACTGTACTACACTTTCCTACCGCACCCGAAACTGAGGGTGGTGGCTTTAGACTCGTACGAGGTCAGTCTTCTGGGCTACGGGGACAACCAGGAGGACGTCAATTACCTGGCGGCGTGCGCCATGTTTCCCGAGAAGAATCCGAACACTGAGGCGAACGACACGTCCGGTCTGCAGGGTCTGGAGCGAAGGTGGGCTGCGTTCAACGGCGGGATCTCCAGCGCGCAAATGACGTGGTTGTCGCAAGTACTGGAGAAGGCTCAGGAGAAGGAGGAGAACGTCATTATCATCTGTGAGTACCTGCGCGCTTTTCATGTCATGTGTGTGAGTACCTGTGTGCTTTTCATGTCATGTGTGTGAGTACCTGTGTGATTATCATGTCATGTGTGTGAGTACCTGTGTGCTTCTCATGTGTGAGTACCTGTGTGCTTATGATTGTGTGTGAGTACCTGTGTGCTCATCATGTGTGAGTACCTGTGTGCTTATCTTGTGTGTGTGAGTACCTGTGTGCTTATCATGTGTGGGTACCCTTATTTAGAAGGTTGGTTTCGACCCTGCATGTCAGGTTTAGCCCTGGCTGAGACGGATTCAGTATCCGTGTAGAAAGGCCAAGGTACTCGATAAATATTCTCCACATTCGGGAATCGAACTCGGATTCTTCTGCATACAGATCAGCGAAATGCCTAACCGCTACACCACAGACTGTGGCCATTTTGTTATTGAAGACTGTGATTATATAGCTACGTACATCTGCTTTCCTATGTATTCCTAATTTGATTCTTTTGTATTCTTGACAAAATTGATGTAAGATATTTAGTGTAAATTTTTCATCGTGTTTTTATGAGTTGCTCACTGTTGTGTGTCCTTTTTAAACTTAAAGCGCAACCATTCAGTGGCCACTAAAATTTGGCTTGGCTCTGTAATGTTTGAAAAGATATTCTTCAAAAGTGTAGGTATGCCATGATAAAAAAATAGAGAAAGAATTATCATTTTGTAGCTGCTCTTCAAATTTTCTTTTCCAGCAGTTGCTATTCTAGATCTACACCTTTATTGAAATAACTGACAGACCGTACAAGGTTTTTTGGCCTACAAATGATTGCTTTTAAGAAGGAAAAGCAGGCTAACCCAGATTTCAGGGGTTTCCAGAAATCTTGACCTACTCCAAAAGTGGGCATTGCCCTACCTATAGGAAAAGTTTGGTTTCAGATTATAAAGAAAACTCACCTTGTCTTTTAAAGAAACTGCACAAAGGTCCAAAAACTTTACCTACGATTTTCTCAAAACAGCATTTTTCGGGATAGCCCCTTTGTGCTTAAAAGCCACCAAATAACATCACATTCATGTGGGTAGAGGTCAATCAAAATCATGAAATAACCTATAGTTGCCTTCCATTATCAATATCTCAGGATCCAGCAAACAGACAATTCAAATTTCTAACTTGAAGATGTAGGGAGTCCTTTGATTGTGCTGTGGGTAGGCCTACATGATTTTTTTTGTAAATTGACATGGGTATAAAGTCATTCACAATGTTTTGATATGTTGAGGTTTTTGTCTTTTGAAGTGTAACCTTATCTTATGGCGCTCATATGACCTTATGCAGTTGCGAGCGCCGCAACACCTCTGCTTAAACGGAAAAACTAAAGGTTATCTTTTTTATCGTATCTTATCTTATCTTATATTATAATATGTGTTTCAGCTCATATCGGTCTCCAGAACGAGATCAAAGACTATGGCATCTGCCTGCTGTGGAACTACGACGAGGTCATGAGCGTGGTGCACAGGTACCGCTGTGTCGTCGGCGTGTTCGCCGGCCACGAGCACATAGGCTACGACTGTGTAGACGACCACGGCGTACAACACATCACGTTTCCCGGGGTCATCGAGACGCGCCCTGGGAGCAACTGCTACGCCACCGCCAGAATGTGGAGAGACAAATTAGTCGTCTCTGGCGTCGGGATTGTGCCCAGTTTCACCATCCCTCTGAGATATCCCGTATGAAAACGCGTTGGCTCGTTTATGTGTACCTAACTTCTCTGCCGTTCTCTTTCATGACAAACATCATCGTTTTTCTATGAGGAATGTAGGTACGTGTTGGAATTACACAGTGAGATCTACATCAAAACGTGGTTGTTCTTATTTGTTAATGTCCAAAAATATTAATTTACTTCGAGTTAAGTTTTTGACTTTGTCTTACACGTAATAAATATAGTAAGTAAAAGATTTTTGTTTTGAGTTGCGTATCACCGGTGCCTAGGATGAAGTGGCAAAGTCTGCATTATGTTTTGAGATCAGATAAATTCTTTAGAAGATTTGAAAGGCAAAATTTGTGATAGTATGAATGCTTTCCAAAAGACAACTTTTTTTCATGTTCCCAATGCTGTGTATGAGTTCTCTGCCTGAGTGAAGCCTTGAGATATAAAGAATTTCTGTCTCAACTGACACTGAAGCAGTTCAGAAATAAAGGGCCCGGGAACATGGCTTGAAAGGACTCCTTGGGCTGCTTGTGTGATTGAAAATTGTATTGGTTCTTCATCTCCTTCTCCTGCTCCTCCCCCCCCCCCCCCCCGTCCTTTCCCCCCTCCTCCTTCTTTCCTTCAGTCAATTGTAAATTCTTTTACCCCATAGAAGGACTGGTTTGTCCTACTTTTTATTTGGACATTTTGTCCTTCATATATTATGATGTTTTTGAAGGTGCTCTTAATTTTTTACAATACTAAGAGTTTCTTCTGTTTCGGGTAGGGAAAAATTTGATATATATACAAGTTAACATGAGCAGCTAGCCATAACGTGTCTGCTCTTCTGTCATTTTGAACCCTCCTAGCATTTTTTCGCTTATTTAAACAGTGTGTGCTTGTCACTTTTGTGTGTTTTAATGCCTGTTTTTTTTAGTAGACTGAGTGCTTGATCCAACCTATCTTGGAGTCAGAGCTGTGAAAAATCTACTAAGAAGAAATCCATATTTTCCATCCATGGTCTGCGCCAGTGCCAAACAGGAATCGAACCATGTGCTTTTGGCATTGGGAGCCAACCAGCTTCTCTTTAGCTGACTTGCCCATCACTCCATGACCAAAAATCGGAGTTTTCTCCAGAAAACGGAATCTCCAGACCCCCTGCGGATTGAGATTGCTTTACAAATCGATCGGGGGGGAAAAGCGTGTAATACATGCACTTAAAAGCAATAAAGATTTGCATTTCACATCATTTTAAAGGATATTTCGGGCAAATATTTCAAATTAATGCAAATACTCTTGTGTATTTTCGCATTATCTTCGATAAGTTTTTTTTACGATAGATGAAAATGGAATTCAAGAAAAAAGTCAAATTTTATGCATATATATATATATATCCGATCAAGGTTTTTCCTTAAGCAAAAAGAAAAGAAAAAAGTTCAAGGGCTCCGATTTTTAATTTTGGCGCTTGGCAGATCTGCTGCAGGGCTACAAGCTTTCCGGTGCTGGTTCAGACTTTCGGCTATTTGGTCTCTTAAGGACAAGCGGGCTAACCCAGATTTCGGGGGCTTCCAGAAATCTTGACCTACACCAAAAGTGGGCATTGCCCTACCAATAGGAGAAGTTTTGGTTTCATTGGTGTGTATATGTTTTGTTATAGAGAAAACTCTCCTTGTCTTTTAAAGAAACTGAACAAGGGGCAAAAACTTTACCTTCGATTTTCTCAAAACAGCATTTTTCGGGATAGCCCTCTTGTGCTTAAAAGCGACCATTTGTTTACCTTGACTCTCCTCTTTTGGGAAGGTTTCCCCACGTACGAGTAATTTACATTCCATTCCAATGTTTACCCTCAACTTGTTTTGAAAGGAGCTTAATCTCTGTTTGATTACCAGAAAGTTTTCTGGGGTTTTTTAAATGTTGAATTTTCATGAAATTTTTGTATGCTGAATAAATTTAGGTTCTAAGAAAACCCAAAGCTATTCCCAGTGCATGTTATAAGGTGATTATCTTTGTAAAAAAGAAAAGTATGGGGAGATATCTAGTTAGAGTAACATCTTGGGACCCAGATATTTGGTAATTTTAAGATAATTTTTCCTATGGTGTTTTTACTCTTGTAGTCATTTCCATATTATTGTAAATTTTGTTTGTTCATTTTCCATTAAAAATGCAAATCAGTATAATCTCTGTAATACTTTTTGGAGCTGACCAAAGGGGTTTGTTGAGAATTTTGAGGAGTGAACTTTTCAAAACTATTTTTGTATGTTATGGAGAAAATGCTCCTTTTAAAAGCTTTCATAATTAGTTACGAACTGGAACTGGACTGAATTCCATGTTTCTCATATTAACACTTTGCAGTCACACAGCCAGGAGTACAAAATACCCCATCTGGTCACACAGCCAGCAGTACAAAATACCCCATCTGGTCACACAGCCAGCAGTACAAAATACCCCATCTAGTCACACAGCCAGCAGTACAAAATACCTCATCTGGTCACACAGCCAGCAGTACAAAATACCCCATCTGCTCACCCGGTCAGGAGAGCGACTGCACCAGGTGACCGGAACGGATAATTTTCACGTGCGCGTTATTGCGCCAAGTGAGTGCAAAGTGTTCAATTCTGGAATTTAAGACAGAAAAGAATGAAGTTATAGGTGGTAAAGATAAAAACCTGCTCTCTCTCATACATGTACAGTTTTTGAAAACCCTTGAGAATTCTTTTTCAATGAAGTTTGAAAAGGTTATTTCATCTTGTGAAAAAAACCCAAACGCGCCAGATATTTTCTTCCCCTTTGCCCATCTTCCCAACCCCCTCGCCCCACCCCCTCAAACCTCTCCCATCCAGCAGCCCCCTCCCCCCCCCCCTTTCTGAAGCAAGTCAGTCTCTATTATGATGCTCCTGACCAAAGACTCTTTGACAGGGAGGAACATGTGATCTGATACAAATTTCTTGCTTACAATTTCAGTATTTAAGAGATATTTCTATGGGCATTCTGATTTTGTTTTTAGTTCACTGTTAATGACAGATCTCATGCGGATCAATTAATTGTGACAGGCTTTCAGGAATATTTCATCGAATTTAAAAATATAAGAAGCAATACATGTACTGTTAAATTTGCATGGTGTACGTCACTAGACTGCCAGACTCACGATTGTAAAGTTTCATGTTCAAATTCTGGTCTGGACCCTGCAATGTGTTCTTAGAAAAGACACTTTTACCCTATCAGTACGTCGTATTTTACTATTGTATCCTAAGGACGTGGGGAACTCTGTGCCACCACTTTCAAATAGGAAATTTACTGGTTAATCCGATCCGTACGCTTTGCACAGCAGTCTGTCAAAATGATTTTTTGAGAAAAACTGAAAGTTTCAAAGAGGTCTTTGCACTAAAAGTATTGTAAAATGTGAAGGGGGATACGAAATGACACCAAGGCGTACGGATAGGGTTAAGATGTGGGTGTTTAGCAGGTGCTCTGGTATGATTTGTTCCTTCCTTCCTTCCTTTCTAATATCTATTGCCCTTATCTTATCTCTCCTCCTTCTTTTCTTTGTGTGTTATGATCTAGTAACTTTACTTTTCTAATCTTCAACACTTATGATATGACCCAAGTGTGTTTTTGCAAGTGCTGTAAAACTCTTACTAAAACTGAGACACAACAAGATTTTTGTGACTACTATTCTATGCTTGTGGGTGGTCGGCGGGTGCTCTGGTGTGGTTTGCTTCTTCTTTCCTATCAAACATCTATCGTCTTTGTCTCGCCTCCTTTTTTTTTTGTGTGTTTGTTACTCCCTTGTAACACCTCTAATCTTCATCGCTTATGTGACCTTATTGTGTTGCAAATGCTGTTAAACACTTACTAAAACTAACACTTCAATGCTTGGGTGCCTGTGAAATTCCACCTGGCTTCGTGCTCCCCTGTAGTGTGGTAGGGAGCGGAGAATGCTTCAGAATGTTGTAGAGTTTGTACTTTGTTGAGGTCATACAATCATGTATTAACATAATATTGTTTTAAAGTGAATACAACTGACATTGGAGATGGAGTATGTGTGTGTGGGTGTTTGGCGGGTGCTCTGGTGTGGTTTGCTCCTTCTTTGCTATAAAACAATCTATCGTCTCTATCTCCCTTCCTTCAAATTTGTGTTTGCTACTCTCTTGTAACACCTCTAGTCTTCGGCACTTATATATGACCTTGTTGTGTTGCAAGTGCCGTAAAATTCTTACCAAAAAAAAAGGAGATGGAGTATTTGCTATAGAAATGAAATCTATTTCCTTGTGTCAGTTTTGTTGCTCTTGTTCTCCTCCTCCTCCTCCTCCTCCTCCTTGTTCTCCTTCTCCTCCTCCTTGTTCTCCTCCTCCTCCTCCTCCTTGTACTCCTCCTCCTCTTTGTTCTCCTCCTCCTCCTCCTTGTTCTCCTCCTCCTCCTCCTTGTTCTCCTCCTCCTCCTCCTTGTACTCCTCCTCCTCCTCCTCCTCCTCCTCCTCCTCCTCCTCCTCCTCTTTTGTTCTCCTCCTCCTCCTCCTTGTTCTCCTCCTCCTCCTCCTTGTTCTCCTCCTCCTCCTCCTTGTACTCCTCCTCCTCCTCCTCCTTCTCCTCCTCCTCCTCCTCCTCCTTGTACTCCTCCTCCTCCTCCTCCTTGTTCTCCTCCTCCTCCTCTTTGTTCTCCTCCTCCTCCTCCTCCTCCTTGTTCTCCTCCTCCTCCCCCTTGTTCTCCTCCTCCTCCTCCTTGTTCTCCTCCTCCTCCTCCTCCTCCTTGTATTCCTCCTTCTCCTCCTCTTCCTCCACTTCATTTTATTCCCCTTTCTCCTCCTCTTCTCCTTCACCTCGTTCTCCTCCTTCTCCTCTTTGTTATATTATATTATTTGGTATTATTATTATTATTATTATTATTATTATTATTATTATTATTATTATTATTATTATTATTATTATTATTATTATTATTGTGATTTTTGTTATTGTATATCTATCCAGATGACATTGTAAATGCACACGTAAAACAATCCACTGTTAATGACCAGAGTTATAATGCCCCAATATATGTAATTGTTGTTGTTGTTGTTGTTGTTGTTGTTCTTGTGCACAAGTTAATACATTCTATATAGTGATATATATGTCTGTGTATGTATTTTGAAATGTGTGCATGCACACACACTTCCTGAAACAGACAGACAGATAGACAAATCACACACACCCACACTCATATACACTCAGAAAGAGAACATGCACACACCACACACAGACATACATCTGTATCACAGCTTGATCTGATACTGTCAGATGTCTTGGGTCCTCCAACCATCCACTCAAAGTATGCATAGTATGCTAAATGGATTAAAAAATAAAGAAGCTCATTCACAGAAAGGTCACTGAGTGCAGTGCAGGGAGACAATCAAAATAGACAAACAAAAGAAATGACATAAAGAGAAGCCTCCGACCTATGGTTCCCGTTCTGATGGACTAGCCTAGATCTTGTACATTTGGCACAGGGGGACATCATTTAACCCTATCCGTATGTCGTGTTTTACTAGCTATAGTATCCATACGACGTGGGGAACTCTGTGCCACCACTTAACCCTATCCGTACGTCGTGTTTTACTATTGTATCCATACGACGTGGGGAATTCTGTGCCACCACTTAACCCTATCCGTATGTCGTGTTTTACTATCGTATCCATACGATGTGAGGAACTTAATGCCACCATTTTCCAAAGAGGAAATTTACTCGTTAATCCGATCCGTACGCTTTGCATAGCAGTCTGTGAAAATGATTGTTTGAGAAATACAGAAATTTTCAAAGAGATCTTCACTCTAGAAGTATTCTAATATGTGAAGAATACTACCCCAGGGGTACAAAATGACCCCAGGGCGCACGGATAGGGTTAATGAGGACACAAAGAAGTGAGGAAGTAGGTCTTTCTTGTGTCAACCTTACAGGGGCCTGACGTTGTGTCCTTGGGAAAGGCACTTTGCACTTATTTTCCTCACTTCACCCAGGTGGAAATGGGTACCCAGCTATAGACAGTGAAAGATCTTGTCAGTTTGATAGTGTTTGAGTGCGTGAAATCCGCAGCTTGCTCTGTATGCTTCCTCGGAAGCTGAGAATGTTTCTGAGTGTTCTCAGAGGGTCTGCTGGGGTAATAATAGTTGTAAAGCGCATAGAGCATGCTCTTGAGCATGGATATGCGCTATATAAATGCAATTATTATTAATTATTAACCACCAGCCAATAGTTGTTGTGAAGTGAAACTGGTTTGTATTGTATCGTCAGTGTTATTTCGCTAGTGCCATATATAGTCATTTCTTGAAGTTTTGAGATAATTGGAGATCATAGAAAGAGTGCCCAGATAAGAGCCAGGACTTACTGGGTGGTTGGCAGGTGCTCTGGTGTGGTTTGCTCCTTCTTTCCTATCAAACATCTATCGTCCTTATCTCCCCTCCTTTTATTTTGTGTTTGTTACTCTCTTGTAACACCTCTAATCGTCGGCACTTATATGTCCTTATTGTGTTGCAAGTGCCGTAAAACTCTGACTAAAAAAAAAGAACCAGGGCTTGTGCACTTGTAATGCTTTAGTGTAAAACCAGGAAGGAAATAACGCAACAGAACGAGACTGTATTATAAGATTCCTTGCGATGTGTTTTAGCGGAGAATGGCTTTACCTAGAAATAGAAACCTTGAGAAATGGATACATAGAGAAATGATGCCATTTTGTGTAGAAGATTTTTCGCACGGTATAGATCTAACAAATGTCACAGATCTATGCACAGAACAGCACACTCTTAGTCTTAGTGGAATCTGCGGGATGTTGAAATCTTTTGGTTATGTATGAATTTTGTATTGTATGTGGTGGTGGTGCCACTGATTGAAGTGTCTTTAGGCCATTCCCAATGGGGGGACATTAACTAGTTGTTCTTATGCACAGTACAATTGTAATTGTAAATGGGCTGCTTCAACAATGTCATGCCCATAACTGTGCCTGAACGAACTGCAACAGGGAACTGCCTCTTTTTCTTTCCTATTCCTAACTATGGTCATTCTTCTTCTACTTCTTTTGTATGTTTGTCACACTCTTGTGATCTGCTATTTCCGGGGTGCCTTGATAGATTTCGAAACAGACTTTGTTGTGTTGAATCTAGAAAGGTGAACTGAGTTAGCCTGATTCCCTGTAAGGACTCCTCTGTTAACATCCACCCCTTGGCACTCATATGACCTTATGCAGTTGCGAGCGTCGTAAAACCTCTACTAAAACAAAACAAAAAACCCTTACAGAACACATAGAATATACATTGTATATTAGAAATATTTTATTTGGGACCTCAAAATCTCCTTGCAACATGCCTGTTCGCTATATATATATATATGTATATATATATATATATATATATGCATGCCAGACTGTATTTTTATAAAAGTTTATCTTAGTGATACTGTGCTGAGAATGTCTGAGTACGTGTGGGCTGATGGTTTTATACATTGTCATGCAGTACTGGTTAACATAAAGTCACACTCGTCGAAACATGTTCACATAATACAGACGAACGTATTGGTAGTTATCACTAACAGTCACAAAGAAAACTTACTGTAATAGACAGTGGCCACTATGTAGAGGTGACTGCAAAGGAAGGTTTGACTATTGATGGATGATGATTGGTCTATGATGTGTCATATCAGTGTAGAAACGATTTTGAACTTTAACTTTGGCTGGTGCTCTGGTGTGGTTTGCTCCTTTTTTCCTATCAAACATCTATCGTCTTTATCTGCCCTCCTTCTTTTTTGTGTTTACTCTCTTGTAACACCTCTAATCTTCTGCACTTATATGACTTTATTGTGTTGGAAGTGCCGTAAAACTCTTAATAGAACTAGAACTTTTATTAACTTTTTTTCAGTACTGACCGGAGTCCTGAATACAAAAACTTGCATAATATTAAAACTATGGTCATATTTACAATGGAAAAGCTTGGTCTGTTGAACTGTGTGTTTGTTGAGTTCTCTGTGCTTTACTGTATGAAATTACGAGGATACTTTTACATTTACACTGTCACAGACGTATGAAGGGGGCCGGTTTTTTACTGTGTAAGCTTGACAGGGATGCTGTTTAATTTTTTAAAAATCAGTTATTTCTGTTATTTCCATTACAGTTTGCTTTTAAGACAATTATTGTTTTCAGCTTTTCTTTTCCCGTTTAAATCCATAATATGACATGCAATTGTGAACTGTGTTTTCGTTTGCAAATGCGACGTTGTAAATTTTTTCTTATTTTCACAAATTTCCTGTTGCATCCCTGGCTTGAGACTGTTTGTCAACCCATGTTTAAGCAGTGCATAATGTTTTGTTTATGCTGTGTATGTTGATCGCATTGATTCTGTAAAAATAAAGATGTGATACTTTTTGCTACTACTGAGTTTTGTCTTTTATTATTAGCTTAAAGTGTACTTAGGGGGCTCTCGTGGCCTAGAGGTTAAGGTGTTCGCTTCTCATTCGAAGGTTCCAGGTTGGAATCCGGGTAGCGACGGAAAACATTTTTTTCTCTGAACTTGTCTCCTTTCACCTTCTTTCCTGCTCTCCAACAACGTTCTGTCGTCTGCTTTCGTCTCCACTTTCTGCCTCCACACCCTCACCTCCTTTGCCCCTTCCTCTGGGTTCCTGACTCTTTCTGCAGCTTTTCTACTGCTACTCCTTGGCTCCTCCTTACTGCTGTCTTTCTGCCACAACCCAGATCTTCTGGTGGGAAAGATCTACACCTGGCCTTCTCGGACAAGGGTGAAAAATCTCGGAGGTCCCGTGTGCAAGTTCTGCACGTTAAAGATCCCTTGGTGGTCTAAAATTGATAAGAGTAGGCTTCAGCCGCCACCCGGGGAAAGTTCAAAATTTCCTACCAACTGAAAATGTTTAATGTGTCCCGCGCGCTCATATGACCTTATGCTATTGCGAGCGCCATAAAACACTTACCCCCCCCCCCCCACACACACACAACAACAGCTAAAAACAACAACAAAACCGGCACATACAAGTAGACACGCGAGCGCAAGTGCATACACACATACACACACACACACACACTCACACACGCACACCCCCCCCGCCCCCCACACACACACTCATACACATACCCCCACCCCACACACACAGAGTCACACACACACACACACATACACACACACACACACACACACACACAGACACACTCGCACACACCCATACACATACTCAACCCCCCCCCACACACACACAGAATCAAACACACACACACTCACACCCCCCCCCCCATACACATACACATACATGTACTCATACTCACACACACTCACACAACCTTTTTTCCTTCTCCTACGCCCCACTCGCCATTCAAAACCTGTCGTGTATTTTGAAGTGAGTTCACCGCATTCTTCCTTCACGTGCCTTCAGTAATTTCCTTCTGCACAGTCACTCTCAACTCTCCAGTCACGTTTATTCGCGCATGTTGTGCTCTTGTGGAAAAATTGCCTTCCTAAAACGTTGGACTTGTGTGTTGAATTCAGGTTCTGGAAACGTTTGTGAGTCGTTAGCGGGTGCTCTGATGTGGTTTGCTCCTTCTTTCCTATCAACAAACATCTATCATCCTTATCTCCCTCCTTTTTTTTGGTGGTGTTTTTTACTCTCTTGTAACACCTCTAATCTTCGGCACTCATATGACCCTATTGTGTTGCAAGTGCCGTATAACACTTACTAAAAATAAAATAATACAGTTTAAAAGGAAATGTTGACTCTAAACTGTGCCTTTTCCACCATAGTTTTTTCAGACCTTGTAGAATACAACACCAGCCTGGGAGGAGTTCCGCAGAGGGCCGGCACTTACCGTGACAAGGTCCACTGAGCAAACTATATACAATATCGCTCATACTATTATGACCTTATGCAGTTGCGAGCGCCGTAAAACTGGAAGGACTTCCGTTACGAGCGGCCATCCCAACAAACACTATAAAGAAGAGAACTAGATCTACCCCTACTCCTGCCCCTGGCCCACTGTTCTACTCTGTCTCATAGTGGTTGCTCGTTACGAAAGTCCTCCTATAAAACCTCTACTAAAACTAAAACTAAACTATACCAGGGTTAGGTTTAGGTATTGTTAATCGGCCGGTCCTCTGCAGAACTCCTTCCCCAAGCCAGACGTTTGAACTTTTAAAAATCAGTTTGTGGTATCAGTAGCGTCTACAGGAGAACTATTTTCATCGAAATTTAAATTCTAAATGTGAAGTGTGCTAACAAAATGAGCTACTCCTCGGATTCAAGCCTTATGGTAATAGAAACATCATGCTTATAAGTGAAGTTTTACAATTTATATGTATGAAATAATAAGAGGCATGTTATACATAAAAAAATAGAGCATAAATGGAAGATCTACTAATTTGACCTCGGTGTTGATTTTTGACCAATACCTCCATTTTGGGATTGAAAGAAGTAACTCATTTTTTCACCATAGCATACAAATGTTAATGTTAAAAATGCCAAAAAAGATAATACAGTATAACACGGATAGCTCGAATTCGTCGGGACCGGCCTCAGTAGTTTTGAGGGATACCTTATAAAGATAGAGAAGAAGAAAAAACAGGACCGCAAGCACAGTTCGACGGATGCGTGATTTTGAGTCTTCTGTGTTCGACCTATCCGTGTTATACTGTGCATGTAATTGTTCTGTAGGTAAAATAAAGAATAACATAAAAATTGAACAGCTACTTTTTTCTCTTTCCTGAAAAAAATTACATTCTTCGCTGAGAGCGGTTGGCATGCTCGTTAATGACATGTGCAACAAAAGTTTGTGATTATTGTGCTATTCGTTTTTTGGTGATTTAGTAAACACTGTATCTTGAACTGCTGAATTCTCGAAGCATGACGCCCCCCCCCCTTCTTCCCCCCTTTCACCCAACTTACTTTCAGCTCAGTGACATTGAAGCTAAGACTAAGAGTAAGACATAATAGTAATTTTGAAAAAAAATAATTTAAAGGACACTAAATCTATTTTTAAAAGCCCCAAATTAATTTACGTCACGCAATTTTTCTTTGTCAACGCTGTGTATTTTTAAAGTTATTTTTTCATTTTAATTCACCGAGGAAGCGCAATCTGGTTATTCGATAACGCTTGAAGACGCGCTTTCAGACACTTAAAAAAATCCGGTAAGTCAAAAAGAAGGCCAAGGCTAAATAAATTACACACAGTGACGAAAAATGAAATAAGTGAATTTTGTTTCTTTCAGAGAAATTCTTGGGTGGTGCAGCAAGACGATCCGACGGTAACAAAAGGAACTCGTTAATTTGTTCGCCCACCCCGAGTGTTGTAAAGTTTCTCTGGCAGCAGTGAGTGCTCATTGCACTGAGACTTGGTCTCTCCCATCTCAAGAAGCTAAGGTGAGATTTAATTAACTCTCTATAGATGTAGCAAACGTATGGATATATAGTGATGTCGGATCAGCAGCAGACAAAAACAAAAACAAAAACAAAAACAAAACAATGTTGCACGCAGCACATTCTGAACCATCACACACACATCAGAAACTGGCGCTCATATGACCATATGCAGTTGCGAGCGCTGTAAAGCCTCTACTAAAAAAAAAATGAAAAATCAGAAACAAGAATTGGCATATCTTATTATAGAAGTCTGGGGAGGAGTTCCGCAGATAGCCGGCACTTACCCTGACAAGGTCCACTGAGCAAACTATGCAAGAGTTAGGGTAAGGGATGGGGTTAGGGTTAGGGTTAAGGTTAGGGTGTGTTGTTGGTTGGCCGGCCCTCTGCAGAACTCCTTCCCGAAGTCTGCCTTTCTACTTCTGGGAGTTTCAGGTGAAGGATACAGAATTGTAAAACTTGTATAGATAACGAAGTTGCGCCTTTTTAGAACGAGATCCCCAAACAGCTTTTCTTCTTTTCAAACGAAATCCCTCCCCCCCCTCAACCTCCACACCCCCACCCCTATATTAAGGCTAGGTCACTTTTTTATTGTGTTTATTGGGGTGGTCGCTGATTACTGAAGTCTTTCCAAAAACTGTTCATGGATTACACGTTGCAGTTTTTTTAAATAACAAAAATTGTTGAAATAAAAAAAAGCAACTCTGAATGTTCGTTTCTTTCAGATTAAAAAAATCGAGTTTTTGCAACAAGACGATCTGACAGTAACAACAACAACAACAAAAAGGAACTCGTTTATTTGATCGCCCCCTCCCCATCCGATCTTACCCCAGACTCCTGATCGTACTCCCTCACCCTCCCAACGCGCCCACCTCTCATGCTCACAGTTGCAGCAGCAGCAACAGCAACAACAGCAGTAGCAACAGCAGCAGCAACAGCAGCAGCAACAGCGACAGCAACAACAGCAGCTGGAGCAGCAGCAGCAGCATGTCGTCAATATTCATTAAAGTAGAACAGCCTCTGGTCTCCTTCGGCATCATCACCGACGTGCAGTACGCAGACTTGCCCGACGGCACCGACCACACGAAGACCAAGCCTCGCTACTACAGGAACTCTCTGAGCCTCCTCAAGAACGCCATCAACGAGTGGAAAAGCACACTGTACCCTGTCTCGTTCGTCATCCAACTCGGCGACCTCATCGACGGACGCAACCAAGAGTTCGGGGGGACGCCGCAGAGCCTTATGGCCTTGAGGAGCGCTCTTCACGCCTTGGACGCGCTGCACTTGCCTGTGTGTCACGTATTCGGAAACCACGACCTCTACAATTTCACGCGCTCCTTCTTCGCAGCGTCTCCGTTGGTGGACATGACCACGACTGGGTTCCTGAACAGAACAGCAAGCCCTTCTTCTCCTTCTCCCCGAATGTACTACACGTTCCTGTTTCACCAAAAACTCCGGATTGTGGCTCTCGACTCGTACGAAGTCGGTCTCCTGGGATACTCGGACAAACCGGACGAGCCGAACCACCAAAGAGCGCTCACTTGGATGTCCAAGAAGAACCCGAACGTAGATAGGAACCACAGCACAGGTCTAGAGGGCTTGGAGCGGCGATGGGTGGCATACAACGGAGGTGTCAGTGACACGCAGATCAATTGGCTGGATCACACTCTGGCCGCCGCGCGAGATAAGAAGGAAAATGTGATCGTTTTGAGTGAGTTGTGATAGTTGCTGGTGGTGGTGGTGATGGTGGTGATGGTGATGCTGATGATGATGATGATGATGATGATGATATACTAATAATGGTATTAGTATTGATAATAATAACAATAATAACAACAATAACAATAACAATAACAACAACGATAATATAATAATAATAATAATAATAATAATAATAATAATAATAATAATAATAATAATAATAATAATAATAATAATAATAATAAAATAATAATAATAGCGCTCAGCCCCGATAAAAGTAAAGAGGCTCTGAGCTTTTTCTTTCTGACTCATATTTCTTTTATTGATAACCTTTTCTTCTAGTTCACATTTCTCTCCAAAACGAAGTGAGGAAAAAATCAACCATTAAAAAAACACCAGAAAAACAAACAAACCAAAAAACAAGACAAAACAAGAATCCACAAACTGACAGTCAACCCTCCCCTCCTTCCACTTTCTTCAGCTCACGTTTCTCTCCAAAACGAAGTTGGAAAAAGAAATCGATCATTAAAAGACCCCCCCCCCAAAAAAAAAAAACATAAAAAAAAAAAATAAAATAAAATAATAGTAATTTAAAAAAATAAATAAAAAAATAAATAAATAAAAAATAAAAATATTCCACTAGAATCAAACAAATGACTGAGCCTCTCCTTCTTTCCCACCCAGCTCCCGTCTCCTTCCAAAACGAAGTGGAAAAGAAATCAACTTTGAAAAAAAATCCACGAACGAAAAGAAATGGACCTTTAAAAAAAAAATCCACGAACTGACAGTCAGCCTTTCCTTCCTTCTTTCTTTCCCAGCTCACGCCTCTCTCCAAAACGAAGTGGTAAAAAGAAATCGACCATTAAAAAAAGAAAGAACCCCCCCCCACTCCCCCTTCCCCCTAAAAAGAAAAGAATCCACAAACTGACAGTCAGCCTTTCCTTCCATCCACACCCAGCTCACGTGTCGCTCCAGAACGAGGTGAAGGACGACTCGAGCCTGTGCCTGCTGTGGAACTACGAGGAGGTTCTCCAGGTGATCCACCAGTACCCGTGCGTCATCGCTGTGCTAGCTGGCCACGACCACGATGGTCACTACTGCGTTGATGACCACGGCGTCCACCACATCACCTTCCCAGGGGTCATCGAGACCAGGCCTGGCAGCGACTGCTACGCCACGGCCCGGATGTGGAAGGACAAGCTGACCATTGCAGGGGCGGGCAGGGTGCAGAACTTTGTCGTGCCTTTGAGGTATCCGGCCGTGTGATATATTCTTCTTGTGAAAGTGAAAGTAATAACATCGACATCGGCAGGCTGGCTTGCTGGATTGAACTTAGAACCTCGCTCGCTTTCTTTCGTGGTTATCTCAGGGATTTATTGCGAATAACATGGTACTGAACACCCCCCCCCAAAACAAACAAAACAAACAACAACAACAACAAAACAACAACAACAACAACAAAACAACAACAAAAAAAACAACAACAAAATAACACACAAAAAACAAACAAAATAACAACAAAAAACAAACAAACAAACAAGCAAACAAACAAACAAACAAACAAACAAACAAACCAACCCGCTAGTGAATCTTTTTCGAAAGCATCTACTTATACTGGATTGAACTTTGAACCCCGTTGTCTTTCGTGGTCATCTCTTGGATTTATTGTGGATAGTAATTATAATAGGTAGTATTTTTATAGCGTAAACTCCAGCTCAACAGCAAGCTCCATGCGCTTTACAATCTATAATAATATGGTACAACACAAATGCTGGTGAATAGTTTTCGGAAATGTCGACTTACTGGATTGAGGTTCGAGCCCCTTTTCTAACAAGATGGTCATCATTTTACACGAATTTCTTTCATGGTACAAAACTATTTTTCAACACTGGTGAATCTTTTTTGAAAGCATCAACCTACTGGCTTGCACTTTAAACCCACAATTGTTTTCAAAATGGTCATTTTCTTTCAAGGATTTATTTCATGTGTAGTACAAAACTAACCACTGGTGAATCTTTTTCGAAAGCATCGACTCAGGCCTACTGGATTGAATTTTGATGCCCATTTTTTTCAAAATGGCAATCTTTCTTTCAAAGATTTAATGTAAATATCATGTTATAAAAATATCTAACACAGGTGAATGATTTTGAAAAGCATTTACTCTCTGGAATGAACTTTGAACCTCCTTGCTTTCGTGGTAATTGTTCCCCCCCCCCACCCCCACCCCACCCCCACCCCCTCAGGGTTTTATTGTAAATATTGTACAAAGTGCACACTGATAAACTTTTAAAACAAATTTAAAAAATGGGTCAGCTTGAACTTTGAACCCACTTTTTTTCTCAACAATTATGAGTTCCCATTGTTTATTCGGCACCGGTACTTAACTTGTCCACTTCTGAATAGCACTTTGTGCTGGCTTTCTATCAAGACGATCCCCCTCCAAGAATAAATCATTTCTGTGTAATACGGGCATTTGTTTTAACATAAGTTTTTACATTCCACTTATCGAGTCTGTGCTGAATGTTTAAACTCGAAATGTGGGTGGTTGGCGGGTGCTCTGGTGTGGTTCGCTTCTTGTTTCCTATCAAACATCTATTGTCTTTATCATCTCCCGTCCTTCTTTTTTGTGTTTGTTACTCTCTTGTAACACCTCTAATCTTCGGCACTTCTATGACCTTATTGTGTTGCAAGTGCCGTAAAACACGTACTAAAGCAAAAACCCGAAGTGCCATTATTATTTGATGAGAGTTTCTGTATAAGTATAATAAAAATAAAAAACTGTTGCAAATGTTGTCCCTCTTACACATGTATAATTTTATTTCATGTATAATTATAGGGTTTTTATTGCTTTTAATCAATTTTAACATGCCATTTACCTAAATTGGTGCTGATTTTTTAAACCTCAAGTGCCATATATTTATTTGATGAGAGTTCTGCATATTATAGAAAACTGTTGCACAATAATATGTCCCTTTGTTGTGATTGTTTGCTCCGAGTACATTTCCACGAGTAAAATACGTAGCGCATTTGATTTAGTATATGTGATTTTATATCCTCCTCATTGACACAATTTAGGTCGTTTAGCACCTAAATAGGATTGATTTTTTTTGGGTGGGGGGGGGAGGGGGGCGTACAAAATCTGACATTACAACGCTGTGAGCTGTGCGTGGGTTATACGTCTTGCCTTGCAGGTATCAATAAAATTCAAAAGATCAGGCTTTTATGCTGTGTGTTCTACTCATCATAGGCTGCGTATGTTTTACAAATAAACGAGATGCATGTACTTATATTTGCTCCAATTATTGTCTTTTTTTCTTCTGTATTAATATTTGAAGTTCTGACGATGGGTTATAGGCAGGTGCTTTGGTGTGGTTTGTTCCTTCTTTCCTACGAAACTTCTATCGTCCTTACGTGTCATTCTTTTTTGTTTGTTAGTCTCTTGTTGTAACACCTTTAACCCCC